AAACACAGGCTCCAATCATTTGTACAGCCACTACCAGGACCTTGAGCTGGTTTTGTTTGAAGGGACGACCGTTAAACTTCAGATACTTTTTTTAGGAGTTTTTCTCCTGTTTCTTGAAGCACAAGTTTATATCAGAGCTGCAGATGACGGGTAACGATTGTGTGCTTTTTATCTTCATATTGCCTGCTTTCTGCCTTTGAATTGGTGATATTACACATGGCCGGCGCCTACTATCTTTATATGGGCTTTGTGTGCTGTATAAAACCTCGTAGGGAAATGATTCGGCATCTGAAGTCACTATAAGTTATTATCATTTTTTTTAGACATCATAAAAGTAAAGAGCAGGGCTTTGCGTGTGTTGTGTATTACAAAGGTTCCATTGAAGGTTACAGAAGTATTCGTTCCTAAATGAAAAACACGAGAAACTGCTGACTGATAAGTATCATTGCAAGTTTCTGCATTACAGTTATCTGCCTGGCATGGTATTTATTATAAACAAAGTTCGATGGTCTTCCCCATATGGTATGCATTGTGAGAGAGCACAGATGAAAAGGAGAACAGGCCGCACCGTTGTCTGTGTGACAGGACCTCAGAATGTCAACATGGTCATCAGTGGCCTATTAGGTTACAGGTTCCCTTTGATTGTCTGACCTCATGTCACTCCGAGGGTATTCGACCTGTGACCGCACACAGACCACATAGGATGTGCCACTATCAAGCTGCGGCTGGAGTGCAATGTGCAAGAAGGAACTCGTGAAAGTCTTTGCCAAGCCTGTAATGTTTTAGAGACGCTTTAATGGCCAGCAGACAGACCGAGCTGCCACCTCCACCATATTTATTGCTACGCACCGATTCCCTGTGGAATAGACGAAAAATGTGATAACTTGTCACCTGCTGCTAGCATGCTTTATACTACTTATTAAAATGTCCCGCTCTAATCGCCTTCTAAGTATTTTCTAGATTTATTACTATCATTATTATCATTTCTAGATTCTAGCCCTCCTGGGAATGAATATACAATCATCACAAAATTATCCACATCTTTTACTGTCACACCTAGATCGTCTGTGTGTCTGTCTATCCAAGATTATCTATCTATCTATCTATCTATCTATCTATCTATCTATCTATCTAAAATTATTCACATAGTTTACTACCATGCCAAGATTATCTATCTATCTATCTATCTATATATATATATCTATCCACATATTTTACTACCATGCCAAGATTATCTATCTATCTATCTATCTATCTATCTATCTATCTATCTATCTATCTATCTATATATATATCTATCCACATATTTTACTACCATGCCAAGATTATCTATCTATCTATCTATCTATCTATCTATCTATCTATCTATCTATCTATCTATCATCGCATCATCGCATATCAACTATTCACATCCTTTACTGCCAAACCTAGACTATCTAATTAGACAATCATCCACATCTTCACATATTTTACTGCCATACCTACATTTTCTTTCTATCTACCTATCTAAAAAATATTCCCATCTTTTTACAGCCATACCTAGATTTCCTTTCTCTCTACCTATCTATCTAAAAAATATTTCCAACTTTTTACTGCCATACCTAGATTTTCTTTCTGTCGATCTAAAAATTGTTCACGTATTTTACTGCCATACCTGTATTTTCTTTCTGTTATTCACATCTTTTTACTGCCATACCTAGATTATCTAACTATCTATCTATCTATCTATCTATCTATTAGAAAATGATTCACATCTTACTGCCATACCTAACCTCTCTCTCTTTTTTTATCCTCATGTGATGCTGCACCGATCAGTAACAGCTAATCCTGTCGTGTAATCGATCATCTGAAAAGCTCCATCGTTCAGTGTTATGGTAGCTTCAAGTACAAAGATCTGCCCTGACTCTTAAGTACTATAAAATGCTGACAAATGAAGCTGTGTATTTCTACTGGTGGCGGCTGTAGCTGTCCAGTATTCAGGGGTGATACGACTAACAAATGAGTTTCAGGGGGCTAAGGAGGCAATTTATACTGTCACTCATAAATAACAGGACATATGTTAACCATATTGCTCTTACACGTAAAGCCGTCAACATGTCGCTGTTTGATACATCTTTACAACTTTACAAAGGCCTGACACCGGGCCGGGTATCTTTCAGCTTGAGAACAGCACAGAGGATGTGGCTGGAGGGTGATAAACATACTTCGTGCCTGAGCTGACCAGTGCTTATATTCTAGGCCTACGTCTACAGCTGGCTAGGGAATATAATATAGTATAGAACACCCCATGCATGGTAGATGGCATATGATGGCTATGAACCCAGTTCTGTATAGTAAGGACAGCAAACCTACATAACACATGTTTATTTGACATCATAGTGCTGAGTACATGATTACATGTTATGTAGGTTATTGGGTGATCTCATGTTGGCGTTGCGAGTAGATTCCTTTCTATCAAAGTTTATGGAGGTGACAATTTACTAAATACAATTGTTACAATTGTTTCACTCAGTAGCCTTGTGAATTTGTCTTCACTTCCGAACACCCAGCCATGTACTACAGAATTTAACTTTTAGGAGCTGCTGTTATACCGAACTGGTTGCAGTAAGTACAGGTACAGTGGGCTACGTTAAACAATTACTCCCTTAGTAAATAAATAGTGGTCACACTGAGAAATTTCCGAATGACATGCTAGTCTGTTTACATGATGGAAAGAAGAGGTCAGTGTGAGGCAATTCACAAATTCCCACTTTTTTCTTAGGGCGTCCCACTTAAGGGGGGCGTTCTAAACACCCAGAAGGGATAAAGAGTCCCCCTTAGTCGGATCAGTGAAGGTATACACTAATAGTTCTCCTAAATAGGTCATTTACACACTGGCTTCGTACTGTACGTCACTTCAGATACCTATAGTGGAAATGCAGACTTTGGGGAACATTGTCTAAAGAGCAACTCTTGTTTCTGATTGACTTTATCCTGATCTGCACAAACATCCCGTGGTACCTCACCTCCATACACAAAACACACAATATACAGGTATCACTGAAATAAAATGATGAGTCTAACTTTCAAAGTAGACCTAATGTATGCAAAGATAAATATTAGATAGATAAAAAGCGAATCTCTACAGGTCATGTTTTATCTAGCACAACCCGTATGCCTCTGCATCTTATTTCGACTATAAAAAGTAAATTTATCACTCGTATTGGAATTCATTAAATCGATGACAGATACCCAGCATGCAGGGTTTAACACGAGGTACGGATGGAGGCTCGAGCCAGATCCACCACCCAACCTCACACGAGTATTTCTTTTTACAAGTTTTCCTCTACACATTAAACTTCAAGTCGTTATATAAAACTATGGACACGTGCCCACCAGAAAATATAAACAAAACATTTTTTAGGTGCTGTGTACAAGGAATTAGCGGAAATTTTGTAACTGACAAAGCCCGTTTTGCAATTGTTTTACAGTATTAAACATCCGAATATATATATATATATAATTTACTTTCTACATGTTTTAATACATTGTCTTATGGGCACACATTACCTGGATAATATTTGCCCGATGTGAAGCCCTTTCAATAAAAATAATCCTTGACATTCTTTAATGTATTTAAATATGACGTTTGGGAGCATTTACAATGTCTTCCGACCTGATAAAAGATATGAATGATTTGGAGTTTTACGAAAAGTCTCCTTCCGGGGTTGTCTAAGTTTCTAGTGTGTATATCACTGACACCTGAGCCATGTTATTTCGATAAACATTTCTGGTTGGCGATAATATAAAATACAATTTGTGGATGTGTGTCCTTGTCAGGAGAAATATTAGACTCCTGGAAATCACCTGTTGTATTACTATAGGTAGCACTTGGGTGACTGCATTACGTGCGGCTGGGACAAATGAATAAAAAAGAAGGCAGTATCCCAGAGCAATCAATCAGTTCTCATCTTTCATCATCTAGGCGATAGAAACATAGAAAATAAAAACAAAATAAACACAGCATGTGGAAAGAGCACGGTAGGTGTAATAGTAGTAGGAAATGTGAATAAAATACGTGGTGTGTACACAGAGATACCAACATTTCGAGGTCACGGTTGTCCATATCCAAACTTTCAGGTCATCGTTGTCACAACTCGCAATGTTACTACAAAGAGCTGAGACTGTCAACTGAACCGTGACTGGTTGCCATGGTTACTGCGCAGTGCACATCACCAAGGAACTTTCACTGATCTATTGAGATAGCCGATGTGCAATCCATACAATGCGTCACCTTGGATGACCTAAACTCGTCCACACATCTCCATCCAAAGTTTATTAGGATCCCAGCACAATGTACATGATAGTAAATACCGACCTCTGTAGTATTTATATATATATATATATATATATATATATATATATATATATATATATATAATGTGTGTGTGTCATCTGTCCCCCTCCCAGCCAGAATTTGGGGAAGTCGGTAGCGGTGTGGCCCGCCATAGATGGATTCACTGCTATGTGATGGATTGGGCGGTGAAAGCGATCTCTTTAACGTGACATTTAGGGGGACATAAGAGGAGGCAGTGGCCTAGGCAGTAATTGGCACTAGAAGTGATCGGAATGGCACTCTGGCCCCGGGGGAGAGTGCTGACAATGGCGGAGCAGCTCTGTTCCCGCCTGGCTCTGCTCCTACTAGTCCTCCGCCAGCCGCCATCCTCCGGGCTCACTAGAAAACTTTCTCCAAGTACAACTTTGAGAAGTGGAATGCAGGCTGAGAGCATGGGGGCGGATCCCCGCTGTGCGGCGGCCTGACAGCCAGCCAATAGGCTGCGTGGGCCTCCTGCCAATCCTGGCAACCCGTCCAATCCCGGCTGTGCCATCGCTAAACTCGATGCCCCCACTGTGCGCCTCCAATGCTGCGCTTTCTGCCAATCGCTGGAGGACAGAGTGGGAAAAGGAATAGGCAGAGTTGGGAGGCAGACAAAAGAAGTTAAAGAACGCTTAATCTACCCATGTTTTTGAAGGAGGATGGTAGAGGGGGAAAAATAACAACAGTAAGTGTGGATGGACTTGATTGTGTAGTGATGGAGCCCCCTTTGAGCAAGAGGAGTCAGACTCTGAGGTTAGCGGATTTGGCAGCGGCTCAAGCCCATCCTCATCAGACTATGACAGGCTTCCCGGGGTTGGGGAGTCATCAAGCTCACTCCCACCCTGCCCACATCCACCCTGGGGAGTTGGGGAGTGACCCTGGAGTTGCCCTGACTCCATTCGGACCTGAGCACATGGCTCAAGCCAGTGCTCTGAAACTTAGTCCCTCGCAGCACATGCCAGCTCATCCCGAGGCTCAGACCGCTGCCGCCTTCGCCTCGCCGGCCACAGTCAGCTATCCCGCCGTGGCTCATTCCCACACTGGCTACAGCAGCAGCCCCAGGGACTTTCTCCTTAGGAGGGAGCTGTCCACTTCTGCCATGTTAGGAGAGCAGCATCCGGCCACCGGCTCCCCCCATCACCACCACCACCACCATCACCCCCATAGCATGTTCATCTCCTCCACTGGCACCTATGGGCACTCTGATGGAGGAAGCCACCCTCTCTTCACTGGCATCCACGAGCAGGCAGCCCCAGGAGTCCACCACCCCCTCAATGGACAGATGCGCCTTGGCTTGGCCGGAGAACTGTACGGGAGAGCGGAGCCCTTCAGAGCCGAGCACTATGCAGCCTCCTCCATCCACAGCTACAACTCTATGAACTTAAATGTCAACCTCGCTGCTGCTGCTGCTGCTGCCGCCCACCCAGCCGCTGCAGGGGCGTTCTTGAGGTACATGAGGCAGCCCATCAAACAAGAGCTCATCTGCAAGTGGATCGATCAGGAGCAGGGCTCCAAAAAGACCTGCTGCTCCAAAACTTTCAGCACCATGCACGAGCTGGTCAACCATGTCACGGTGGAGCATGTCGGGGGCCCCGAGCAGAGCAACCACGTCTGCTTCTGGGAGGAATGTCCCAGGGAGGGAAAACCATTCAAAGCCAAATACAAACTGGTCAACCACATCAGAGTTCACACTGGGGAGAAGCCTTTCCCATGCCCCTTCCCTGGATGTGGCAAGGTCTTTGCCCGATCAGAGAACCTTAAAATCCACAAAAGGACTCATACAGGTAGGTATTTTCTGTCTTTTCTGCACACCTCCTCAGCCATGTGACTGCTCATGAATAAGTCATTTAGCTGCACACATTGGCAGGAAACCTCCGAGGACTAAACAACCTGATCATGTCTCCCCACCACTGCATTTACACTGGGTTATTTGTCTTCTGGTTTCCCAACATCTAGGATTGTTGCCAAGATTTCTCTATGAATGGAGGAGACCTCGTGTGAATGGTCAGGAGGGAGGGAGACAAAAGGATCAGCCTGCAAGAGCCAGCTTAGACATTTCATCCAGGGGTCCTAGAGGGTCCCCCATTTTCTGCTACCTCTACTCAGTTAGATTTAGCCAGGGCTTAGCATGTCTTGGGGCACAGGAGGGGGATTGAAGCAATCTGTAAATATCCTCAGGGCTTCCCAGTCAAAGGCGACTTTACACTCTTGTAGACCTGCCTGGTATTTAGTTCAATGGATTGTTTAGGTTGAACCTCCTATTACATCTATATAAGAGTGAGCAGATATTGTAGAATTAGATTGTGTAGTGTATAGCCAGCTTATGTACACAAAAGGGGAGATTTACTAAAATTAGAGCACTCAGAATCTGGTGCAGCTGCGCATGGTAGCCAATCAGCTTCTAACTTCAGCTTATTCTATTAAACTTTGCCAATAAAACCTGGAAGCTGATTGGTTTCTCTGCAGAGCTGCACCAGATTTTGCACTCTCCAGTTTTAGTAAATAACCCCGATGACTCAGTTCACTAAGTTTACAAACTAAGAAACACGCTTATATTTTTTTCCAAGAAGTTAGTTATTTTTTTGAGTCCAATGAGATTTGAAATCTACAGTCACATGGCTGCACATGTGTTATAGTTTAGTGAAATGTGCCTACAAACCGATTTTTCCATGGCACCTTCTGATATGACCTCAGTACTGAGCAGGCGTAAAGATAACGTAACGATTGACCAATGGATGAAATGCTTGAACAGATTACTGTAACTTTCCCAAACTTCTAGATAATTGTACTTAAATGAGACATAACCCTCCTGTATAGATGACATATTGCACTACAAAATTAGTAATATATTAGTATGTTATAGGGGGCAAAGAATACCTATATTTTCATATTTATATATTTACTAAATGATTAATGTTTACATGCTTATGTTGAAAAAAATCCCACCAGCCCGTGTATAATTAATAAATGATGGCATGTTATAAATAACATACCAACTATAATAGATACAGTTACAGGTGATTTGTAGGATGTAGTGGACTTTCTGGGTGTGTAGAAGTCTATAGCCCAGGCCTTCCTTCCCATAGACATGATGGGTACAGGAGAGCCAACCCATTCTGATGACACGCCAGACATGCAGGATGACGAGAGATTACACACATCCTCTTGTACAGCAGACCATCCGAGCACACCGCAAATCATCTACTTCTTCTTATCACAATCGCTCAATTAGTGCTGCATATTTTAAATTAATTCCACTAGTTTCAATTAATTGATGCTGTGAAAATTCATTATGTTTATCTAAATGCGATTTTAACGTATTTTTCTAATTATCTGCATACATAGAAAAGCCCAAAGGATTCGATTTTCATTACACTCAGAATATATTATATATAATTACACTCCTTTCGGTGTGATACAAAATGGCAGAGTATGGCTCACTGGGGCTGTAGGGGTTAAGGTGCAGGCTTTCGGGAGATTTACTAAAGGTCCAGCTGGTGGGGTAACAGGGATCTATAAAAGTTGTCTGAAATGTCATGATTGAGCCCTTTAGGAACCTTCTCTGATGGGATGCATGTATGATAAGGGATAGTGGTGTATTCCAGTGTAGGTCATATACTATAATAGGCCAGGAGGACCGATGGTCAGAGCTGTTAGGTGTCTGAGTATATATAGAGCTACATATATGTAGTGTATATACAGTAAGTGGGGGAGGTCAGTTGATGGAGCTGAAGTATGGTGACTGACAGCTCCGGAGATGCTGCTATGATAGCACTGCTGATAATGCTTCATAAAGCTGGACATGTCTGGAATTAAGGCCTGGAGATATTTGGGTGACAGACGGCAGATGTCTGGTCTATACAATAGGAGATGTCTGGGTGAAATGGCTGGAAAGGGTTGGGTAACTGAATCGATGACCACGAGTTACTGTACAAACATCGTCTTATAATCTTCAAAGACTTCAAGTAAAATTGTAACCAGATTTCAGTCTCATCAGTTCTGTGAAAGAGTGATCTAGTGCTGAACTCACTGTGGATGCAGAGCAGCACATTACTTTCTCAGCCCATAGTGACTGATAACTATGAGGCATCAGTAGCAGAGCTATCACTACTACACATAACCTCAGGCATAATATGCATCCATTGCAGGATGTGAGATGGAATATCTGGAACTGTGAATTTCCCTGTTGTCCACAAACAGTCCAGGACGTCATCTTCCTCCAAGCACCACCAGGATTGGCTGGACTGGGGATGTGACTCAGATCAGAGAATAGGAGTGAGCCAGGGCAGTCTGTAGACTAGCATCAGGCAAGGGACCGTGCTGGCATCCCGTTGAATGTAATTATTACTTACTAATTAAAGGTATGATGTAAGAAGGCCATTTCTAATAAAGCTGGTAACCTGTTTGTCAAAGAATCGCACAGCTATGACGTCAGTGGCAGGAAACAGATACCTGATCACTAACAGCCAATATACCGTATAGTAAAGCATAGTGGAACTCAGAGTACACACATAGTACACATTAGATCAACACAGAACTGTATGTGTTTGTAGGGATGTACTAATACTAATTACTAATAACACTGGGAGTTTATTACAGCCATGCTGCATCTTGGAGTATGAGCATTCTCAGCGTATTTGTACTTGACCGAGAATAAATAGAATAAATACAACCAGACCTACATTATTCCAAGATGAGTTTACATGATATAAAGCTACAAAAAAATTAGCATAAACTTGTGAGCAGATACATTATTTCGCGTACTCAAATGTCAAATTAAAGGTACTAAAACGTAAATGATAATCCAGACTATCAGTGAAAAGTAATAAAATGATACATTGACACATCGAAATGTGAGAAAGAGAGACGTTTTATTTAGCTGAGGCTCAGACAAATTGTTAATAATCAATGACAGAATGTTACACTGTAGACTACTACAAGGAATAGTGTGTGTTTGATGCAATTGTACTGTAGCTAAACCTGGAAAAGGAAGATTGATATCTCTGACACACACACACAATAAAGTAAATATATAAATAACAAAACAACTATATACATGTATATATATATATTATATATATCCACAAAGAAATGTGTGGAGAGTGGACTATATATATATATATATATATATATATATATATATATATATATATATATATATATATATATGTGTGTGTGTGTGTGTGTGTGTTTTTTTGTTATTTATTTAATTCCTCCTTTCTGTCTCCCCACTTCCTTGCCAGTGCCACCTCTACCACATTCTTCTTCTCCACTCTAGTACACTGGTCTAGCCATATATATCTATATATATATATATATACACATATGCACAGAAATAGCACACTATGGAGATTATTATAGTTTTTTTGTTATTTCTATATATATAAAAAAAATATATATATATATATATATATATATATATATACACATATGTGTGTGTGTGGATATATATATATATATACACACACGGAAATAGCACACTATTGAGAAAATATGTATATATTTATATATAATCTCCACTTGAGAGCTAGATTCTGCACTATGACATGAGAGTCGTTGTTGGGTACAGAGTTGGCAATGCATGTGCACATATCTATTAGGAACATTTTTTTCCTAGGGCCAGAAAAGATGAAGTGATACAATGGCAAGTGGTTTACATGAAGAATGTGTTGACTATAAAGTGGTGATTTAAGAAATATGATTTAGGAGATTTAGGAGGCAGTTATTCCATAAATTTTAAATAACAGAAAACTCAGACACAAAAATCCCCGGATATAAAACAGAGCAGTAACTAAACATGTCTATCAATGTCCAGATGAAAGTTACATAATTCATATTAATTACCTATGTCCAGAGCTCTTGCTCTGATCCTGTTTGATCTATGCTACAAAGTCCAAGAGATAAACAAGAACGCCTGGTTTTCTGCTGCTGACTACTCAGCACTACCCTCCCATAATAAAATACATGCAATTCCTATATTGTTTCAAAACTGTATTCTAGACTAGGGGTTAACTGATGTCTGAAATAAGCGACATTAGCTGGGCCAACCTAAAACGGTTTTCTTTAGTCGATCACTCCCAGAATCTGTGATATTTTGGAATACAGTGGTGAGTAACAATTCACCAGTAATAGTTATGCGAATTCTATGGGGTTATAATTAGGGATAATCAAATATGAAACAGCTACAGTACACCACACATTTCATAAAGGAGCACACTGGTAAAAGAAACAAAACAAATAGGACACATAGAAATAACATAGGTAATCTACGGTTCACATTATTAGTGAACCGTACAGCAGTGTTATTGGAAAGGTGATTATGGCAGTTCACAAGTGTCACTGCATGTGACAGAATAGGGAGCACCAGAAACGGATCTGCTATTGGCTAGACCAGAGTACTAGAGTGGAGAAGGATGTGGTGGAGTGGCACTGGCAAGGAAGTGGGGAGAAGGAATATGCATTGTATATTAGAAGACACAGCAGGGGTGTAGCTGAGTGAGGATATTGGCAATACCTTAGGTGAAGAGTACATTAAGAAGAGCTCAGCCAAACATGTATTAGTGGTGGGATTGTGACTACATTAGTAGGGGGTGTCTGTAATGGTAATAATCTTCATGGGAAAAGTGCTGATCTGTGAAGTGTAGGGGCGAGCCAAAGCTCAGTCTAATTATACACACCCTTTATTTGGTGGGGAGCAATCTACACTAGGCCTATATATATATATATATATATATATATACATACATATCAAGGGGTTACAGCACAGAGAGTCAAAATAAATTTTTCAATGAGGTTCAAAAACCAACACAGCAATGTTTCAAGGACATGGTTGCTTGAGACGTTGCTGTGTTGCTTTTTGAACCTTATTGAGCAATGCATTTTGACTCTCTGTGCTTCAGCCCTCTTTTGTTTTTATAACCAGACACGGGCACAACATGTTATATATATATATATATATATATATATATATATACATACACACACAATAATGTGTATCCATGTGTAGTGTCCTGCCAAATTGCACCGTCCTATTTTATCAATGCAGATGAAGGTGACATTCATCTGATGTAGGTTAGCCACACTACTGCATAGATCTTCCAGCAGTCTTCATTCTTTTCTTCCCTTCCCATGCCTGACACAACACACATTGGTGAAGTGGTAAATGACTGACAACACACACACACACACACACACACACACACACACACACACACACACACACACACACACACACACACACACACACACACACACACACACACACACACACACACACACACACACACACACACACACACACACACACACACACACACACACACACACACACACACACACACACACACACACACACACACGTGTGCTGGTAGAGATCTCGGTGACAGCACGGCCCTGAAATGCTAGGATCATTGTATTTCATTCTATTAGCCCTGACAAGTGTAGTGGGATCGTATATAACCCAGTCTTTAGAAGAAAGTGATTGAATTACAGGACATGCAGAAGTTCGGGCCATGCCAGATAAGCACACCCCCGAGGCTGCTCTTTACAGGCACTTTAACTGTTAAGCAATGCGGAAAGCTATTAAAATAGATTTGCTATAGATTTCTTGGCTTAGCATTGCATCGGGTGCATAGATAGGCTACTAGCAGTCTACTGTTCCCTTTATTAGTGTTATCTTATTATAACTGTCAGATGAGATGATGAATCCGATCTAATGATGTGTGACAGTGTAGCACACAAATACAATGCGATGTGCACACCTGAGCCTGTGCCCTGTGCAGGTGATATGACTTTTTTTTTTTACCATTTATGGATATATATATGCTTTCACTTTCTGTAGGAGAGAAACCCTTTAAATGCGAATTTGATGGTTGCGACAGAAAGTTTGCCAACAGCAGTGACAGAAAGAAGCATTCTCACGTGCACACCAGTGACAAGCCGTATTACTGTAAGGTCAGAGGGTGTGACAAGTCGTACACTCATCCCAGCTCCCTGAGGAAGCACATGAAGATCCACTGCAAATCCCCTCCAGGCTCCCCCTCTGCTCTGGGCTACTCTGCTGTGGCCACTCCAATTGATGACTCTCTGTCCCCTGCTCAGGAGCAAGTCAGGGGGCGCTCTAGCAATCTGTCCCCTCAGGTCACCAACCTCAATGAGTGGTATGTGTGCCAGGCCAGCGGGGGCCCCAACAACCTGCACACGCCATCCAGCAATGCTGACTCCACAGATTCTGATGACGAAGACACTTACAGGAACTCTGAAAGGACTATACGCTAGACACTGCTGCCTTCCCCAAGTGTGACAGATGGACCACAGAGATCGCTTTTGGGAGCCCCAGTATTTATTTTCTAGAACACCATAAGGTCCTCAAACACTTGAAAATGTTACTATGCTTGATGAGTTTAGCAACGGTATGGCCTCCACAGCAAACTGTCTGAATCCTGGGATAGATGCCCTGTAGAAGCAAGGAGGATAAACAGATTATCATTCTGCCAATGCAATGTATTTTTATTCGCAGGCTGGATACTGTACAGAATGACAGTGCTCTATCTCCCTCATGTGCCTCACACACACATCAATTCACTCTGGAGGTTCTTGCCTGACTAGGCCCAGTGCTTATAATGTGGTCCTGATTGTAAAGCACCACCTGCTGAACAGGCACCAGTCCTGGACTCCCGTGGACTACACACAGCTCCCATCAGTACCCTGCTCTGCCTGCCTTGAGCACCCTGCTTTTCTGGTCTCTACATATCCCACAAATATATTTGTACTTTCACAGATCACTGACTTTTCTTTTGTAAACTTGGCTTGAAAAGGTATTTTTTTTTTTGTTTCCATTTTTCTAAATTATTTTTTCTATTACTGTAAAAAGACACCACGGCCATAGTTCTCCTTGGACTTCATGATATATTGCCGAATCTGATCTGGTGTACATTAAAATGTAATAATCAACATCAGATTTAAAATGCCTCAAATCCAATGTCTTAGCATGCTTTCCAAATGTTAATAGCAATCAAATCACAAACTGCTTTCCCCGATGGAAATGGCTTATTTTCCATTAATTCATAGAAGACCTGAACAGTTTATTTTAACCTCGCTCCTTCTATAATTACAAGCTGTAATGAAAGGGATTGGGACTAATTACTAATTGCATTTAATGATGCAAAAACCATAGAAAGATGACAACACAACGGAGAAGAACAAAATGTGATATATAATATATATTTATAAATGGTGTGTGTATATATATATATATATACATATATATATATATATATATATACACACACATATATGTGTATATATATATATATATATATATATATATATATATATGCTCTCCTCCGTGTTGTCTTCTTTTAATATGTGAGGAGTGTATATATATATATATATATATATATATATATATACACACATACATATGTCTTATGTGAATGTATGTATGCTATTGCATTAAAATCTGCAAAGAATGGCAGTTTTAAATCTTAAGTTAGATCGTCTTTTTTTTGTTAGGGCTATACTTTAAAGCTTAAATTACATTTGACAAAAATATCTTTTAGAATTGTCAGTGAATGCAAATACAATATTTTAAAATTACTAGCGCAAAAAAAAATGATTTATGTAGAAATCTGACTAATGTGCACTTGTAGTGAGAACGAAGATGGCAGCTTTCTCAGGTAAAATGGAGCTATCAATGGCTGAGTTGCAGATTTGTAGCATGAACTGAGGCCGCTGTGTTTTCTCTCCCTATTCCCCAAGTACCAGAGTCACCATCGGCGATGAAAGCCGACCATTGCTGTCAGCCCATAAGTCTCCAGCTTCTAGTATTATGATGCCACTGTCCAGATTCTAAAATCTACTAAAGACTACTAATTTCCCCTCAGAGAATAGACTTCTAGATAGTAGATTGCCCTTCCCCAGGGTGTATAGGAGCCTGTTGTGTATGATGTGATCGATTGTACTAGTCTTGTCGTTGTTTATAAAGTGTATGTGAATAATGTGATTTTGTACAAGTTGAATTAATTTATTTTTATTCTGGATTCCGTTTTTTTTTTATTATTATTATTATTATTATTATGTTTTTTTTTTTCTGGAAGAGCGCTCATACACCAAAGACTTATAATATTACTTTATGGTGAAATATTGGTGTTTGAACCTGTGTCATTTTTTTAAACAAGTAATGAAGGTGAGAATCTAAGAAATCTATATTATATATATTTTCATTTTACTTGAATCAATGTGATGTGACAGGTACTCTTCCTGCATGTATCCTGTGCAGTTTGATACTGATCTCAGTGCTCTCGCTATAGTCATGTACTAGTGCAGTGCTACTGTCACTTGTCTGTGTGTCATGTTCAGTGAGTAAAGTGACTCTACAATTCCTCCACAAGACAAACAGTTTAAAGAAAAGCTAAAAAAAAAAAACAATTCAGATAAAATCATTGGCTGTGTTTACTTTTCATTTTTTTAATACGGTTTAAATAAAGGAAATGAAAAGAGACGTCTTGTTTCTGTTACTAAACAGTTCATAAAATGAATAACTGCTATTAGGTAGAAACATCATCATATCTTCTGAACTGGAACTGGAGAAAAAAGGAAGAAGTGTGCTATTCCTGATATTAATTCATTCCCATAAAAAACGTCATTCCCCCCAGAAATCCACGACTTTCTTTTTTTTTTTTTTAAACGTCATTTTCCATGACAGCATCACTAGTGATTTATCACTAGAGATGCTGTCATGTTCTGCCTAAAAATACCAAGCTAAAACTCTTCAAGCCACAAAAATAATGTGAAGCAGCTCTTAGAATTAACCATGCAAGGCTGGAATAAAGACCAACAGTCTAGCTCTGGCAATTAATTGGCTGCACACGCAAAGTGTAGCCCAGGCTAAGAAAAATATTTGCAAATCCAGCTCAGTCTTATTTAATATTTGCTCAACTAATAAGCCACCGAGTGTTATTTATGGCGGTACTTAACGCTGGTTTAAAGTGAGTTCTCAAAATGTCAATAGCAAGTTTCATCAAAGGGTTAGTGTGTGCCTCAGTCACTTGTGCTGGATGAAGGTGAAGGAGGCTGCAAAGAGATGAACCTTTCCAGCAGATTGTCTGCAGCCAAACACAAGAAGCCAAAGAGCACTTCTAATCAATGGAGAAACTTATAGCTCTCTAATGAAGTTTCTTGTGAAAGGGAGGGCAACACAAAGCCACCCAGACATGAATCATCCATGGGAAATATAAAGGATAAAAGATTTGTGACAATGACTTGAGCTTGTATAGAGCAGAGAAAACAAGTTTCCCCCAGTCATAGCTGTCCAGCCTATAGAAGCTCCACTGACCACTGCAAGTCCTGATCAAAGTCACTGAGCGGAAGGCTTGGCGCTTGGACAGTCTTCATGGTGAGTTAGGATTTCTATGGCAATTGGCAGGCAAGACCTTCCCATCTGAGTATGCCCCAAATAAAGCCACTTATTGCCACTAAGCTGGCCAATATCAAAGCCTTCATCTGAAAAGGTGTGCCCAGTCGTCTTTTCTGGCACAAATATAGATCAAAGCACACACTGGCACGACCTGATATATTATTCTATTATTATTTTTAATATAATAATAATAATAATAATAATAATAATAATAATAATAATAATAATATTATTATTATTCTATAGCTCTAACAGTTTACACAGCCCTTTACTAAATGAAGGGAGACAGTCCAGTTACAATCCAATATTGGCAGGTTCAGAAAGGACTGCTCCCGAGAGCTTACAATCTAAATGAAGAGGCAAGTGATGCAAGTCATCTATGTACAAATACAGATCAAAGCATACACTTGCATGATCTGATATAATAATAATAGTAATAATAATAATAAATATTATTATTTTTAGCAGTAGTAGTATTATGCAGAAATTATATTGCAATTATTATTATTTTATAGTGCCAACAGTTTGTCCACCAATTTACAAAATAAAGTGATACAGTCCAGTTACAATTCAATATAGTAGGGTTCAGAGGGGACTGCTCCTGAGAGCCTACAATCGAAAGGAAGGGGCAAGTGATGCAAGTAATCTATGTACAAATGTAGATTAAAGCATACACTTGAATGATCTGATTTAATTATTACTATTATTTTTATTATTATTAGCAGTAGTATTATGCAGGATTTTTATTGCAATTTATTATTTTATAGTGCCATCAGTTTGCCCACCAGATTACAAAATAAAAGGATACAGTCCAGTTACAATCCAATACAGGAGGGTTGCAAATGGTGCAAATGATCTATGTACAAACATAGATCAAAGCATACACTTGTATGATCAGATTGTTTATTATTATTATTAGCAGTAGTAATATTATGCAGGATTTTTATTGCAATTATTATTATTTTATAGTGCCATCAGTTTGCCCACCAGATTTCAAAATAAAAGGTCCAGTTACAATCCAATACAGGAGGGTTCAGAGGGCACTGCTCCTGAGAGCTTACAATCTAAAGGGGCAAGTGATGCAAGTAACCTATGTAAAAATATAGATTAAAGCATACACTTGTATGATATGATATTATTAATATTAGCAGTAGTAATATTATGCAGCATTTATAAAGCAATTCATATTATTTTATCATGCCAACAGTTTGCACACCACTTTACAAAATAAGGGATATAGTCCAGTTACATTACAATACTTTACAGGAAGGTTCAGAAATCCCTGCTCCTGAGAGCTAACAATCTAAAGGAAGGGGCAAGTGATACAAGTGATTTTTATACAAATATAGATAAAAACATATATTGTCATGTACTGATATTATTATTATTCAGGATTTATATAGCATTTATTATTTCATTATAAAACACCAACAGTTTGAGCAGCACTTACAAAATAAAGGGATACAGTCCAGTTGAAATCCAATCCAGGAAGGTTCAGAGAGCCCTACTCATGAGAGATTACAATCTACAGGCAGGGGCCAGTAATACAAGAGGTAATGACTGATGGAGGATGAGTTGATGGAGAAAAAATGAATTCAAGTTGTTAGGTGGAGGTGAAATAGGCTCCACCAGGAGCAGACTGACAACTCATGGGGTCCCCGGGCAATAGGGGATCATGGGGCCCCTGTGTTCTCGCCCACATTCACACCACACCCAAAAAAGCCTATGAAAGGTACCAGGGGCATCTCATGGGGCTCCCTTCTGACCCTGGGCCCTCGGGCAGTGCTCGAGTGCCCGAATGGTCAGTCCGCCCCTGGGCTCCACTATAGAGATTTATTAAGGAGTAATAATGTTGATTTAT